TGTGTTTTCGCATCTATATATCACTTCCAGACAAGAAAGTGAGCGTCTAGAGGGTGGGGCATTTTTGTTCTCTGCAGGCTTTTCAACATCAAAGGACGAAAAGGGACGCCGGTGCCGCGTGGCAAGACGTCCCATGTCAACTTCTGAATCGATTTTCTTGGTTGTTGAGAACACAAAAAGCTGAAGAGCAAATTTTCTATAACGTTTGTTTTTATGAAAATAAAGCACAGGATTAACGAGAGAGTTTATCTGAAGGACGACCTCTGCCCACCGAAAAACCGTAAAACTACGAAAAAATGGTAAAAACGGGGCCGCGGTGAAGACAACCAGTAAAGGCACGGTAGCGATAAAAACAGTAACTGTCAGCAAGCACACAGTGTGGACAATTTTCCTTTCTATTCTGGCTTTGACAAGGACACTCACCTGGCTGGTTTGACATCGCTTTAGTTTTCGCAGTTCTAAATATAATTTGCGATAAAAGTTCACCATTATTGATATTCCAGTTAGCCAACCAAGGCCAAAGATGCTATCTAGGAAAAGGAGGACCTCATAACGGATACCAGCAACGGCCGATGCAAAAAATAAGGCAGTCGTTATGAACGCAGTCACCCAAGCAATTCTTGCATATTTTTTAACGCGCGATTTTGTTATTATAAGTTTATATTCCACCCTCTTTACTATCGCCAAATACCTCTCCCAAGAGATTATTACTAGATGATAAAATGAAGCACTCCAAGCAGTGTACAGCACCAGCGTAGCAACGAGAACTCTTGTGCATATGATGTTTACTGATGCATTACCTCGAAGAATCAGCGTATCTAAACTGATCGTCAGTGGCATACAAACTGCGCCAACCAAAAGATCAGCCACGGCCAAACTTGCGATCAAAATGTTGGAGTTTGTTTGTAACTGTCGAACTTTTTTTATAGTTGCAATCACTACGATGTTTAAAAGAACAGTGAATGGACAAGCGACAGTTGCAACGACGATTGCGAGCTGAAGGGAAGTTTTTTGCGTCGAGTCCCAAATGAACTTGAACTGGGGTGAGCTGGAGCAAAAGATCTCTAGTGTGGAGGAATTACCACGCGGCTCTTTAGGGTAACTCAGATTCATTTTGATGAGCACGAAAGGCTTAGGGCCATATAATTATAACCGTTTCGTAAACGATCGATGGCTGTTTGCAATCGGTCGCGCAAAGGGTTTCCTCTCTTAAGGCGACTTATTATCATGACAAAAATCACTCACGCGTGGGTAAATTCTTCAATGAAAATGTTGCTTGTAAGGAAAAGAGAGAAAATAACGTTCTTTGTACTATTCATTGTCTCCACCTGATTTTTACGGAAATATTTCGGTCATCCTCAAACCTTTCTTAGCGCATATTTTTTTTGAAGCAAATCTCCAAAATTCAGAAAAGAAGAAGTAGTCACAGAGGCGTTGATCTGTAAATTCCTCCGAGACTAATCATCCGAAAACATTCAAGTAACAAACAATTCTGTCGGCAGCTTACAATTTGAACGACAGCAGACCACTTCAAATGTTTCAAGAATAGTGAATTACGTTGAATTCATAAAAAATGTAATTTCCGAAAGCATTAAATTTATCCATTTGGAAGAACACAACACTGAAATCAAAAGAAATCAGAAAAAAGGTAAAAATTAATACAAAACCGTCAAATTCTGTAAACAAATACGTCGCACAAAAGGTTTCCTCTCTTACAGCGACTCATTTCCATGAAAAAAATCGCCCACACGTGGGTATATTTTTCAATGAAAATGTTGCTTGTAAGGAATAAGTACATTTATCCCTCCGGCTTATTCTTAAACGTATTGACCAAAAGAGGAAACTAAGGTTCTGTATACTGTTCATTTTCTCCATCTGTCATTTTCAAATCCATCCTAGCGCAGATTATTTCAACATAAATCTCCAAAATTCAAAAAAGGAGAAGTAGTCACCGAGGTGTTGATTTGTGAATTCCTCCACGACTAATCAACGACTAATGAACGACAGCTGACCACTTCAAATGTCACAGGGATAGTGAATTACTTTCATTAAATGTGATTTCAAAAGCATAGAACTTATCTGTTTCGAAGACCAAAAATGAAATAAAAAGGGGTTGGATCTCAACCTCTATGGCAACGGATCAACTTTACACCTTCAAAGCCACGTCTGATTGCTTGGAGAGTCGCTCACTGATCGCGAACAAACGAAGCGGAGATGAAAATGTATTCAGCCAAACCCACTTCCCGTCAAAAATCATAACTAAAGAAAGAAGAACACTTGGAAAGATACTATAACAATACTGAGATCACTAGAAATCAAGATAAAAAAAGGCGAACATTTATACAAAACCATCAAATTCTGTAAACACATACTTAAAATACAATCGATACAAGTTGGAGATGAGAAACTCAATAACTTACTGTGATTTTCTCCAAATAAAAGAAAAGTTGTTAGATATCAACCTCCATGGCAACGGATCAACTTACACCCACAGAGCCGCATATGATTGCTTAGAGAGTTGCTTATTGAGCGCAAACAAAACAAGCTTGTGTTTCAAGCTACTGATTCTCACTAAAAAATAAAAAACGGAGATGTGAAAGGTATTCAGCCAAACCCAGTCCCCGTCGAACAGATTAAAAAAAGAAAGAAAGAACGAATAAAAAGCAGAAGTAGTTCATTTAGAATGAGATAAAGTTCAAGGGCTGGCTGTGTGAGAGGCGTTCAGCGCTAATATATTCTAAAATTCAAAGTTCGAACTAAAAATTTGAATTTAAAGCTTGACTGTAAAAGCTACAACACCGAGTTAAAAATTTACTTCCGGCAATCTTGAATTCTGAATGTCTGTTGTTGCTTTTGAAAAGCAAACACCCCCTGATTAGCTGCGCGTCACTGCATTGCGGAAATTAGCGAGACACTGAAGTCCGAAAGACACTGAAGTACTTCCTCGAAAACAATATTGAAACTAACAACTTAACCGTTTTTCTCTTTTTCCCCAAGAGCGAAATGTTCAAATGACGCGTTTGGATTGTGATTGACAGCTGGAGCTTAACCGCACTAATCAAGAACTCCGTTCGTGGGCGTAATCTTTACTCCCCTACCCCTACCACTCTCCTTACTATTGACTGTCGACCCCCCCCCCCCCCTTGGTACAACTTTCTTTTTCTTCCCAGCCTTCCGCTGCAGTTAAAATAAAAGATAGCGGCCATGATTTTCGTTAAGAAAATACGGAGCACTCGCTCGCCAAAATTACGCTTTCTCTGCAGGCTAGCAAGCTTCCCGTGTTTGCTACCGTCGTTTTTAGAGAGACTGAGGGCCAATCGAGCCGAGTTGATATTAAAGTAGCTTTTTTTTACTCAGGCTCCTACATGCTCGAAAAGTGTGCGTGATGTGATGGATTCTTCACTTAAATAGATTTATTGTCTTGTCACCAACCAGAATGAAGAAAAGTAGTCATGCCTATTGCTTCTAATTCGCGAGAAACATAAGCAACATAGGCAATAGGCTATTTGCTTAAAACAGGTACTCAGAGATATTTCTCCAGATTTTGACGTGAACGCTTTGGTATGATTGATACCTTGCAGAATTGTAGTTTGCTACCCAAGTTTTCCTCAAAGTGAGTCCACTTAGTGCAGTTGTCCTTGCTGCCTATTTGTGATACATCAGTTTCATAAAAATTATCTTCTTTACAAGCTTTTGTGAGTCTGACGATTAATTTAAGCAGTTATTTGCCGGCTGTTTGCAGTACAGTGGTCCTTGGATATTGAAAATTGTAAATGTTCTACATTCAAGGTCTGTGCACAGTTCGTCCACTCAGTATTATTAATATCTTGTTCTATTTTTAACACAAAAAACCATCTACGGGTATTAAGATTACGTTTTCTATTTAAAATTTACCTAAAGCACGTTGTTTTATTGTTTATCGTTACAGACCGAATTTTCCCTCTCGGATTTATGGTCCAAGCGCAAAGCGTGCAGGCAATAAATCGAGTGGAAATCGAGCGTTACTAAAACTCGAAGAAACCAACTCTAAAGTTCGGGATGTCTGCCTCTGAGTTTTGTTCCTTCTCTTCGTTTGCGTGCTTTTCCCTTCAATATATTTCAAATTTTTCTTCGAGACATTTTGGCGACCAAAACAAACCTTGGGATTTGGCGGGCCGTGCAGTGAAAAACGGCCCGGAAAATCGACCAATTATAGCGCACTCACCAACTGAGAGATAAAATAATTATATTTATGAGCCTAAGCTCGAGTGCGCGTCCGTTACTCGGGAACCACATTTTAAATACCACATTGTCACATTAGAGGGAGTGCAAAGGGCAGCAGCCCGTTTTTGTACAAACGATTATGACTGGTAGTTGAGCGTCACGTCCATACTAGAAAAATTAGAAATTTGCACCCTTGTAAAAGGGACGAAAAGATCTCGCTTGATCTTTATGTATAAAATGATTCATGGTTTGGTTGACATTAAGATTAGCGCTTTTTTAAATTTTAGTAATGAGGCCCGAACCAGGAGCAGCCATACAATTCTTGAACCTCACTGAAAGAAAGACGCGTTCAAATTCAATTTTTCTCAAGAACCGCTATAGACTGGAATAAGCTCTTCCCTGCATGTCTAATGTTACGTCTCTTGCCGAATTTAAGAATTACCTTAGTTCATTAGATTAATAAGAGCATGTCAATTTGTAGAGTTCACTTTTTAGTCTGTACTGTACTTACGGTAGCTTGTAATTTTTACTTTTGCAATTTTAAGTGGTTAGTGTGTTGCCTAACCGGCTTTTACCGACCTAATTGAGACGGTGATGATGAAGGAAACCGTCATAATCTACAACAGCGATCCTCGCCTTTCTTTACTCGACCCAGCTTTCCTTGCTCGTGTTTACACATATCAAAGGTGGGCTATCTTATTCAAAGAGTAACTTGTCTGACTTTTTATTGAATACCCAAACGATCGTGTTTGCCCATGGTAAATTTTTATTTCCTCTATACATACTATACTGTGACAGCCTGTTTTCAACAAGTCCAAGAAGTTCATCTTCTTACTTTCGAGGATGTTTGTGGCTGCACACGACCTTTGTTATCGGTGTGAATAAACTCCCAGAGTTGTTTAGCACTGTTAGCATTGCCCAAAATATTTGCAAGCCTTTCCTGTGGCAGTGTGAAAAGTTCTTGAACACTCTCCACGTTTCTCATAACAGATCTGGAAAAATAAAATAAAATTTATCTTTCACAGAGCAAAAAAAAGGGTCCCAAGATGAGGTCTAAACTGTCCGTCGTAACCTACTACTGGGCCTAAGACAAGAATTTCAGAACTTCTCTAACGTATACAAGTAGAGATAAAGAAGTCATGTCTTGCACAGGACCAGAACTGAAATAAAGCATATCATTGAATATAGCCATCCGAAAGTTTTACCGGTAGTTCTTGAAATTTATGCCAGGAAGCTTTAAAATGAAGTCCTTAAACAGAAAAGAAAGCTAGAATGAACAAAATTACAACGTATATGAAAAAACAAATCTACATTCAGAACTATTCAAATGAAATGAAATAACTATAAGAGAGAAGAACGAAACCCTAGTTTCCATTCGTTTTCCGTTTAACCCAATACTCAAAAGACTATCATTTCACCTTTAACACCAAATTAGACTTAGCCAGTATTTTGTCTTCCCAAGTCAGAAGTCCGTATCGGAAATCTTGATAAGACACCTTAGCACTGCCTTACGTCTTTCTTAAAACACAAACAACTCATTTCAAAGTCTTATTAGCGGTCAATCCTCGTTGTCTTTATCAACTGTTCCGTCTTAACAGGTCTAAGGTCTTTGGAGACTCACCCGGCCTGTACCAGCATCCCTTTACTGACTCACCTGTGGTCCAATGTTGTATGTAACATCTGAGGCAACTGCTGTGGAGTCAGAGCCCACAGCCATGGCTGTGGCGGCATCTGGTTCAGGACATTTTGCCTGGAAAACAACACAAAAATAGAAAAAAAAAGTAAAAATCACTCTACTACTACGCATCTCCAAAACGATTACTATAATCCATTTAGCGGTAAGGCTCCCTTTCTACACCTTCTGCTGTTTATTACAACAAAATATCAATTTAGTTGCGTGAAAATGCGAACAATTGCGTAAAGTTACATACATTAGCGACCAAAACGATCATTTGTGCGTAAATCATATTCAATAACGATTTTGCATTTGAATCAGAATTCAATAACATTTTTGGGCATTTTGGGCATAGGCGTCATTCGTCAAACAAAGGAGAAAAATGTAGTTTCATTTGCGCCAACTTTCGAGTCATTAACACCATCATTATATAGACAATACACAAACATAGTGCATTTAGTAACATTTTATCACACTGTTTGAAATTCAATAGCGATAGCAAGGACTGTAGGAGGGTGGGGGGGGGGGGCATTTTAAGTAGATAACCTGCTGGTCACCTCCTACTGCATCAAAATTAAATTAGTGGATCAAGACCACGTTGTGTGGAGTCAGTTAACACGCGGGTAAACGTAACTTGATCTTTCAAAGGCTTCCATAGGTCTGTTCTTTACGACGCCAAGCAAATATTACGAAAGCCATAAACAACAAGGTTGTTTCATCACGAGAGACTCACCTTCAGATCATCAAAAAGCTCAGCTGTTGCATACGGGCTGTGACACCACAAGATTTTCAACTGGAAGATCAACCAGGATCATCATTAATTACCATTATTGCTTTAAGACAACAAGAAACCAAAAAGCATTCATAACACGCACCTTAGGAAAATGAAGAGTAAGTAAAGTCAACTTGGAAGATATGTCATTGAAGGATACCTCACTAGACAAACTTGACTTCGCCTGAAGGAAAAACAAACAAACAAACAGGTAAACAGATAAATAATCAGATGGATAAAAAATGTCGGTTAAAAACTGTTAGAAATTCACGATGGGCGATTCCAAGTCTTAATTCCTAATTTTAACAAGAGAGTTAAAGAAAAACCAGGTGTAATTACAACGTCATTGGATTCTGAGGTTCGGTTTATACGTCACGTAAGGAACAAAGGTCAGTGACAAGAACTATCTGTGTCCGTGTGTCCTACAAGAACTAAACTTGTCTACTTCACACGACCATACAGAAGCATAGAAAATCAAGATCACTTGCAGTGGATTCTTAAGTTTTGGATCACTCCTAAACGAATAACGGGCAGTAATTTCATTCTAATGAAAGATGATGTTTTCAGTGAACAACACAGACATACTCGCACAAAACAAACTCCAAGTACTCTCGATAAGGGACGACCCTACGACCTTCCGAGCAGTATTTAGGATGCTCTGCCACTGAGCTACGGGAGACTCCTGGCAGGCTAGGACTTTTAATTCTTGTAATTAAATGCAAAATTTTACCCGATCCTACCAACTGTGCAGGTGTTGGGAATTTCCGTGTATCAAACAAATTGTTAATTTCGAGTATTAAGAGGTTAGATCTTAATATTTTCATTTTCGTTTTTCTTCCACTTAATCTCACTTTTTCCACCTCAATACAGATGGCTTACATCGGGAGAAGATTTTCCTAATATTTATAATACAAACAAGTTGTTCGATTCAGTTTTTACTCATTCTAATCTTAGCTCGATTTGTTCTACAGTGTGTTCACAGCGCTTAATTGTAGATATATTTGGGTCTAGGATTCTCGATGGCCTCAGATTCAGCGCTCGCAAAAACCCCTGTGCAGTAGTACGGGAAGGGCACGGTAGATTTCCCACTCGGACGAGCAACTTTATCTCCGTTCTTGCAATATCTGATAGTTTAAGAGTTGACGCTAAAACATCTTAGTCTTTTATTTCCTTTTTTCATCCCCTACGAGGTAGGGCTAGCGGAGGAATGCCTCTGAAAGTCACATATGAAAGTTGCTTTCCCGAAGGGCAAGTTGGCATTTAAACTGTTTTCAAGCCCTGCCTTGGATGTTGTTGACTAGCGCAAATAATCCCCCTCCGTTAAATTAAAAAATAAACAGAAAAAGCTAACATGTAAAACGTCAAACACTCAAACAAAGAGCCAAAACGATAAAAATTAGGAAAATCATTTTATCACATAAACTACGGTGTTATATAGGGATTTCCAGCCCTGAGAAAAGCGTAACAACACACGTGAAAAAAATAGGATATTTTTTCACGTGTTTAATATCGTCAATCAGGTGCTGAAACGTCACTCAGCTTTCGCGCCACTCGGGCAGGTTGATGAACGAACGGCAAAGCCTTCACCATTCACAATCCAAAGTCGTTTAACAGAATTATTGCGGATTATGGCAGCTGAGACGCTGAAAAATCCGTATCGCTTACAGACAGTGACGTGCAAACTTTCCTAGATGGGGAAGAAAACCAAAATACGAAAAAAGAAACCGCTTTGGTGATAGCATTTCTCGCGGCCGGGAACGAAAATCGACAACTGGAAGATTTGCCACCAGCCGATTTTGGCCGTGTACCTAAAATATTTCTTCTGTCGCTAAGGACGACATAAATAACTGACAATTTTGTATATGGAAAATTAGGCCCATTGTTTGTTTCCATCTCGAGTACGTCAAGCTCTTTAGCGTTTTTTTTATCAGGGGATTGTCGATCCTTTTATTTTCATTCATTAATAAAGTCGACTTTTGTTGGCAGTAAAGGGCTATTGTGTTGATATGATAAACAAAATAGTACATAGTTGTTTGTAGATATGATATTTCTGTTCTTGTGTTCAACTCGACATCTCACTCGTGAGCTATCGAGCTGAACACTCCAAGAGAAATTCCATATCCACGCACGCCCATGATCTCATGTTCAACTGTAATTGAAACTTGAAAAT